ACGGACGATGGACGCCGCACAAATTATGATCACAAAAGCTTACCTTGAGCAATTTGTGCTCAGGTGAGCTAGCAACAAAAACTTATGTTCGAATACATCATTTAAGTGTTCAATTCTACTGAAGTTAGGGACGGTTGCATATTGAAACACAATGCAAAATCGATTTTTCGGTATACGATTAAACATTGCTAGATTCCTATTCATTTTCTTTACCAATTGCTATTTGTTTAATGTTTGTTCGACATACTTTTAAAACATTTTCACTTAAATTCAAACACTTAAGTAATTTACATTGACATTACAAGTTACTTGAATACTCTAATCTTCAATCGAAACATCTCGGTTATTATCAATGATAACCTTGGACTTAATACGGATTGAAGGTAGTTCTCCTACGCGGTTTCAGATGTAAACAAAAACAGGTTTATAAATGATAATGTTTAAGGAAATTAAAATCATGTAGAAATTTGACATCTAAAAGAAAATAAATTTGACATATTGAAGGATATGTCCAACAATCTTTATCAATTCAAAAATGCTCAATGATGGAAAATTATAACAAAATCCGAAAGTGTAAACAGGTAGAGATTTTCTACAACAATAAAAATAACTATATAAATAATGTTTTCGGTTAACTGTTAAATACATAAAATTACTTAATTTAGATTGACTTTACTCGATATATTGGTATAAATTTAGTTTTCAACTCCAAGCATTAAATTAATTTCTGTTTCTTATGCGTAGGTTAAACCGAAATACCGTATCCGTTCTGTTTATTCTTACTATTTTGTTCGAGGTCCTTATCCGAAGTTTGGCAAAAATGATTGTCAAACTTCATGACACATTTTTCAAGTTTTAAAACAGTGAACAATAACCTATATGTCCTTCATTGTGATTTTATTAAATATAATGACATTACTAAAATAAAACTTCTAGGTGCGAGAAGGGAGAAACAAATTATTTCATTCAGCCAACATGGAAATGGAAGACACGGAAGTGACTAAATATATAGATGATATTGTTGAAATTCTTGAAGACCCTAAAGAACTCAACGGAAGATCTGATGCACAATTAGCTCTCAGCAAACTTAAACAGGTAAGTAATGTCAGTGTCATTTAACCCATACCACGCTAATTGTCTTAAATAAATTTTAATGAAAGAAATTAAAAACTAGGATTGACTGAACTTTGAACAGTGCAGTCAATAATCAGGCGACACGGACATAATTATGTGCCGGCTGATCTTGGTTTGCACTGTTTGCATAGTTATATTAAGTTGCCGACAGCAGCAGTCTAATGGTTTAAATCGTTTTTACGATACAAACGCAAATAAGAAAATGTTTCTTATTGAAATTTCACCAAAACATTTCCTAGTTATCCAGTTTTTGTTTTTATGCTCCTCGAATGATGAACATATAGTAGCGCTTTGACCATTCGTCCGTTCGTCTGTCCCCGTCTGTCTGTCCGTCTTGGTCATAACTCAGAAACAACATGAGGTGTCAGCATGAAACTTTGTAGGTAGATATACCTCATTGTACAGATGTGCAGTGTGTAAAACCGTAACTTTGCATTGTCTAATTTTTGAGTTATTGCCCTTTGTTCATTTTTACACTTTGAACTTTGACCGGGACATTACTCTAAAACTATAGGAAATATAATATTAAGCTTTGTAGGTAGATAGATCTCAACCGGTAGACGAGCAATGTACAAGAACCGTAACTCTGCTTGCCTTACTTTGGAGTTATTGCACTGGTTTATTTTAACATTTGAACTTTGACCGCGACAAAACTCTAAAACTGGAAGAAATATCAACATAAAACTTTGTATGTAGATAAATCGCATTTGGAAGAAGTGCAGTGTAAAAGAACCGTAACTCTTTCTTGCTTAAGTTTTGGGTTACTGTCCTTTATTCATTTTTACACTTTGAACATTTTTCAGAACATAACTCAGAAAGCATTAGAGGTATTAACAAGAAATTCTGTAGGTAGTAAGATCTCATTGAATAGAAGTGCAGTGCAACTTTGCCTTGTCTTATTTAAGAGTTTTCGCCCTTTGTTCTTTATGCACTTTGAACTTTGCCCGGGACATAACTCTGAGATATCAACATGGAACTTTGTAGGTATATATTTCTCATTTGGTAGAAGTGCAGTGCAAAAGAACCATATTTTTGCCTTGCCTTATTTAGGAGTTTTGCTCTGTGTTCATTTTTTCACTTTGAACTTTGTCCGATATATTGCTCTGTAACCTTAAAAGATATTAACAAGAACATTTGTAGGCATATAGAACTCATTACATAGAATAGCAGTGCAAAGAATTGTTACTATGTCTTGCTTTAGTTTGTAAATTTTGCCCTTTGTTCATTTTTACACTTTGAACATTGTCCAGGACATAGCTCTGAAAGTATAATAGATATGTTCAAGACATTTTGTAGGTTGATAGATCTCATTGGGTAGATATACAGTGCAAAAGAACCATAACTCTGTCTTGCTTTATTTTGGAGTTTTTGCCCATTGTTTTTTTAACTTTTTGAACTTTGTCCGGGAATAACTCTGAAATATCAAGGTACATTGTAGATATATTTCATTAGGTACAGTGCAGTGCAAAAGAACCATAACGGGATATTACTGTGGAATTATAAAAGGTATCAACAGGAAACTTAGTTGGTAGATAGATCTCATTATGTAGTAGCCTAAGTTTGGAATTATAGCATTTAGAATTCTGTCCAGGACATAACTTTGAAACTACGAAATGTATATTTTTCTGTGTCCAAAACCTATTCGGGGACCATCACCCGGTTCAACCGGCTGTTGTCTTTTTGTCCCCCGCCTTTTCGAAGAAAAAAGGGTTTATAGTAATAGGCTCTGTCCGTCTGTCCGTCCGTCCGGGAGAACATCTAATGGTCTATGAGCTTCATTCCGTCCATAATTTTAGTTAAAAAAGGAAATCCCATAAACGACTGGGTTTATGTGGTATTTTTACTGGTTTATGGGGAAAAATACGGGATTTTAAAAATACTTTGCAGAAATAATCACAATAATAAGATGATATGTTAGACGCAAAACATTGGTCCCTACCACCAAGGTCACACTTGTAATAGGGTATATTTTGTGTCCGATCTATAACTTCTTCATAGTTCAAGGGATTTTAAAAATTCTTGGCACAAATACTAATATCAGTTAAGACGATATGTCATGCACAACATCTGCACCCCTACTTCCAAGGTCAATGTCACACGTAGAGGTCAAAGGTTAACATGATAGATATTTAAATTCCGTTTTTCATTTTACTAGTATTTCTTTAATTCATTTATTGTTGCATTTGCAGATCCAGCATTGATCATAATTTTGTACTGAAAGTCCTGAGATCCATACCTCAATCACAATGTAATGCTTCATATAAATCTTCCCCTAGGCGGGGGACGTTGGTAACTCTGTTACAAATTCTTGTTGTTTTTTTTTAATAATTATTCCCCCGAAAGCGAATGCGATATAAGTGATAGTCTCCATCTGTCGATGTGGGCATGTGTGTGAGCATCCGTCCGTCATCAATTTGTTCAGACCATTAATCCAAAAGCACCTGTGCGATTTTTTTTCAAACTTCATAAACTGACTGAGCCAACTAATAGGAAGTACAGCGTGCAAGTACAATAAATATACACAGTTACAATACACTAACAATACAACCAGTCTCGCTAGGAACTTGAAATGGGCCATTTCAAAATTTTATTTAGTTCCGGCCATTATTTTCACGTTCCAAATGCATTCTTTAAATAAGGGACGATACACCGCTTACCATTGAATGGTGCTAAAGCGTTACATTAAACATTCAATTAAAACTGCCGTATGAACGAACCTGTGGATGTTTTTAAATTTCAATTTCACCAGTTTCATGTTTAAATGTTGAATTCTGCTAAGGTCGGTGCTAGGTGTCGTGAACGGTAGCTTGAAATCACAGCTACCATCTATGAACAGGCTCAGTCAAACCGAGCGTGCAAAATTTTCAATTATGCCATGTTGGGCTTTTGGAAGGGACTCTATTTTTTTCTACCTATGTATTCAACAAAACTCAATACAATTTGATAAAAGGAACAGCTGGAATCACATTATTTTACTTAACCTTTTAGTTATTCATCTATCAATTTTCAAACATGTTTAAACTCATTTTGGTATGATCGCGTATAACCGCATTTTTGTATGACCGCGGATGCCGGTATAATTTGATAAAATTATATTCATAGGTATGTGATTACTGCATGAGGTATTATGTTGACCAATTGACAATGAGCCTTATTTAGTGGGTGAAACGTTTAGTAACTAGTTAAGATGCTTTTTCAATAATTAAAGACTGAACATGTTACGAAACGCATTAACCGCATAATAGACGAGATAATTTAGTTGTTACGTAGTAACTTAACAACGCATCAACTACATAATAAATGGGACCACTATATGGTTATAAATATATAAAAATCTATGCCATCTTAAAATCATCCAAATTTTCCCTAACAATTTAGATTTGTTTGTTCAAATAAATAACTAACAGTTCTTTTTCATTGTTTTAATCTAAAATAATAAATGAAATTCATTTATTATTGTTCATTGCCAGTTGAAGCAAAGTGATTTTGAAATCACAACCAACAATGAGACCGCCGTATGTAGAGAGGCATTGGCATTTGTTAAACTGGAATCAGAGGATTTAAAACAGACAATTCAAGCTGAAAAGAAGAACTTTCAAAAAGCTACATACGAAAGTACACAAGAGGCTAAACATGTCATTGACCAAGCAACGGATACGGCTAAGGAAAGCATTAAAAAGTGTCAACAGGAAGCTGTAGAAGAATTCTACAGCGAAACACTATATGATAGGGTAGGAAAACTGGAAACAGATGCTGATTCAATGGAAAAAGTAAGATAATTTAGTACATATAGATATATATATATATTGCATTAGACATATAATTTAAAATATATGTCTTGCTTATTGTTACATACAGTTGTTGTGACACTTTTGTGTCACTTCTTGTTTTTCCGTCTACGGTAAGTATCTCCCCTCCCCCCTAGATTTGTTTTTAATTTTCATCCACTACCCCGTTCTTCTGGTCAACTTTCCCGAACCCCTTATCCTTTGGTAGGTTTAAATCATTTTTCAACTTTTATAACTTTGTATGTTTCTGTGATTTCCTGTTTTATAATGACATCCCGTCCTTGGTTTATTGCCGACGATCCTGTATTGAATGCTACCCTTTCAGCTTGATCATGTTTTTTTATGCCATAGTAATTTGATGTGATTATTCTCTGTCTGACGTTCATACATATACCAACAATTGTTGTGCCTGCACGATACCTAATTTTACTTTATTCAGCCTAATGCAACAACACACGAACTTTAACAATTAAAGGTATACTATGCTCATCTTTGAGTACAATTTGTATTGCAGAAATTTATTTAAATCTGTAATTTTTACTGAATATGTATAATTTGAATAAAAGAAAGAATAAACTATGTATCGAAATCTGCGTTCCGTATTATGGTCTCATACTCGTCCCGGCTTCGGCGTCCGCGTCCAGATTTCAGATTAAAGTTTTGGTGCTGTAAAATAATTTTCACTGTAACTTTTTCATTTCTGAAGGTATCAACTTCAAACTTCGAATATATGTTCCTTATCATCAACCACATCTTATGTGACAAGGTTCATAACTCTACCACCTATATGTTTTAGAATTATCTCTCCTTGAATTTAGAATTTTCCTTAAAAACATTATTTTTTACAGTTACTTATTTATTTTTTAAGGGATCAACTTCATACTTCAAATATATGTACCTTTTCATTAACCACATGTTAATATCTAGCACCAATATTGCAAGAATTATCTACCCATAAACTTAGATTTATTTACTTGAAAAATGTTATTTTGTACTATACATTTTTATACCCCCAAAAACGAAGTTGGGGGGAGGGTATATAGGAGTCAACCGGTGGTCGGTTGGTCGGTCGGTTCGTCGGTCGGTCGGTCCAGACGTCCGTTGCATTTTCCTTGTCCAGAGCATAACTTGAAAACTAATGGTTGGAATTCAATATAACTACATACAATGATCAAGCACATTGAGAGAAAGTGCAGTGCACAAGAACCATAACTCTATCTTGACTTATTACAGAGTTATTGCCCTTTGTTACTTTTCCTTGTCCGGGGCATTACTTGAAAACTACTGGTTGGAATTAAAAACAACTTCATACAATTGTCAAACACAATAAGGGGAAGTGCAGTGCACAAGAACCGTAACTCTATCTAAAGTAATTACAGAGTTATTGTCCTTTGTTACTTTTCCATTGCATTCTTTTGTCCGGACCATAACTTGAAGACTAATTGTTGGAATTCATTACAACTTCATACAATGGTCAAGCAAATTGATAGGAAGTGCAGTGCACAAGAACCATAACTCCATCTTGACTTATTACAGAGTTACTGCCCTTTCTTACATTTTCTTGTCCAGAGCATGACATGAAAACTACTGGTTGGAATTCAAAACAACTTCATACAATGGTCAAGCACAATAAGGGAAAGTGCAGTGCACAAGAACCATAACTCCGTCTTGACTTATTACAGAGTTATTGCCCTTTGTTACTTTTCCATTGCTTTTTTGTCCGGAGCATAACTTGAAGACTAATGGTTGGAATTCAATATAACTTCATACAATGGTCAAGCACATTGAGAGGAAGTGCAGTGCACAAGAACCATAGCTCCATCTTGACTAATTACAGAGTTATTGCCCTTTGTTACTTTTCCTTGTCCAGAGCATAACTTGAAAACTACTGTTTGGAATTCAATACAACTTCATACAGTTGTCAAGGACATTAAAAGGAAGTGCAGTGCACAAGAGCCATAACTCCATTTTGACAAAATACAGAGTTACTGCACTTTGATACTTTTCCTTGTCCGGAGCATAATTTAAAAGGTACTGGTTGGAATTAAAAACAATTTCATACAATGGTCAAGCACAATAAGAGGAAGCGCAGTGCACAAGAACTTTAACTCCATCTTAAGTATTTATAGAGTTATTGCCCTTTGTTCCTTTTCCTTGTCTTTCTGGACTTATTACAGAGTAATTCAATAAAACTTCATCAATGGCCAACCACATTGAAACAAGAACCACAACTATCTTTTATTTCCAACAACAATAACTCTATTTCATTTTTTACAAGGTATTCTGTTACTAGTAACATTCTCATTTCCAAAGCAGTCTTGTGGGGGTATTTATCACATTAAGTGAACTAAACTAAACTTTGAACTAAGGATTTTCAGCTCACCTGAGCTAGCTCAGGGTGAGCTTTTAGGATCGTTGAATGTCCGTTGTCCGTCGTCTGACGTCTGTCGTCTGTCCACACTTGTTCGTTAACACTCTAGCGGTCACATTTTGCCTCAATCATAATCAAACTTTGTCAGGATGCTTATTTAGGTAATAGCTCGGACGAGTTCGATATGGGTCATCTCGGATGAAAAACTAGGTCACAGGAGCTAAAAATAGAAAACCTTGTTAACACTCTAGTGGTCACATTTTTGACTCAATCATCATCAAACTTTGTCAGGATGCTTATCTAGGTAATGTAAAAGCTCGGATGAGTTTGAACAGGGGTCATCTCGGATGAAAAACTTGGCCGCAGGAGCTAAAAATATATAAACCTTGTAAACACTCTTGCGGTCAAATTTTAGACTCAATCATCGTCAAACTTATTCAGGATGCTTATCTAGGTAATAGTGTGGATGAGTTTGAACATGGGTCACCTCAGATGAAAAACAAGATCACAGGAGCTAAAAATAAAAAAAACCTTGTTAACACTCTAGTGGTCACATTTTTGACTCGATCATCATCAAACTTGGTCAGGATGTTTGTTAAGGTAATCGCTCAGATGTGTTTAAACATGGGTCATCTCGGATGAAAAACTAGATCACAGGAGCTAGAAATAGAAAAATCTTGTTAACAACCTAGTGGCTACTGTTTTGATCCAAGTATCCTGGAAATTGGTCTGAATTGGTTTTGATGATTTCTAGGTCAAGTTTGAGTATGGGTCACCTGAGGTCAAAAACTAGGTACCACCGCCCAATTATGGACAAACCTTGTTAACACACTAATGGTCACATTTTTGACTCAATTATCATCAAACTTGTTCTGGATACTTGTCTTAGTAATTGCTCGAATAAGTTAGAACATGGGTCATCTCGGATGAAAAACTAGGTCACAGGAGCTAAAAATAGAAAAATCTTGTTAACACACTAGTGTGGCTACTATACTGTTATGATCCAAAGATCCCGGAAATTGGTCTCAAAGTTTGTTTTGATGATTTCCAGGTCAAGTTTGAATATGGGTTACATGGGTTCAAAAACTAGGTCACACCGCCCAAATATGGGAAAGCCTGGTTAACACTCTAGTGGTCACATGTTTGACTCAGTTATCATCAAATTTGGTCAGGATGCTTGTCTAGATAATTACTCAGATGAGTATGAACATAGGTCATTTTGGATGAAAAACTAAGTCACAGAAGCTAAAAATAAAAAAAATCTTGTAAACACTCTAGTGGCTACTGTTTCTTGTAAACACTCTAGTGGCTACTGTTTTGATCCAAGTATCCTGGAAATTGGTCTGAAAGTTTGTTTTGATGATTTCTAGGTCAAATTTGAATATGGATCACCTGGAGTTAAAAACTAGGTCACACTACTCAAAAATAGATGATCCTTGTTAACACTCTAGTGGTTACATTTTTGACTCACATGTCATGAAACTTGGTCAGAATACTTGTCTAGGTAATTGTTCGGATGAGTTCGATGGGTCAGGTGAGCGATCTAGGGCCATCTTGGCCCTCTTGTTTATAAGAAATATTATATTTTTTTTTTACTTTTTAAGGTATCTCCTTCAATTTTCAAATATATATTTCTTATCATTACACACATGTTGTGTGACAAGGGTCATAACTCTAGCGTGACTATTTCCAGAATTATTCCTTTGATCTTGGAATTTATGTTAACAATGTTATTTTTTTACTCTAACTTAATACATAATTATACATAATTGATTTTTTTTCTTACTGCGTCCAGTATTTTATAAGTCGAGCTTCGCTGTCTCCTGTGTTAGCTCTTGTTTTGAATTCCACTATATATGTGTGTCCGCTTACATCGTGTAGGAATTGTGTGAAGAAACATGTTTATTTTATTTACAAAACAAATATTTACAAGTAAAAAAAAAACTGTGTAGCAATTGCCATTATTTTCAAATATCAAATTAGAGCATCGCATGTCTTTAAACTTGTGAAGGTATTGTAAACACGCCTTTTTATTTTCTGACGATTATTTTATGCTTTTGAAGTGCAAATATGTTGCCTTTTAGCTGTGTTTTCTCTAACAATATGCATTTAATTTATGTTGTGTAGTAAATAGAATACACAGAACGAATAATGAATGGAAGGTTCAAAAACGGAGATATATATTTACTGAAAACATTTCCGACCAGTACATAGAACTAATTAAATCCCTAAAGAACGTGAAAAACGCTTAGTTTGCAATTATTCCTTGAATAAAATTACGAGAATGGAATGCAGGTCACAACACGCCACTTGCCCCTTGCTAATTGTCATTTGCTTCTTTCAATTTGCTACTTTTCAAAGTATTGGGATATTCCGAAACGTTGTGTATAAACAAGATACAAAACAATTTGACCCCTTAACATTTCGACACGATTAATCAGTCTGTTTCTTGCGAACAAAGTTTCTTTCTGCTGCGCTGCTTTTTCGTTTTCTCACTTTATTCTTCTTATTACACTTACATATCTTGTCATTATTATTCGATTAATAAAGTTACAATCCATCTGATTCCTGATGATGTTCATGATTGTGTTGTTATATTTCCGATCAGCACTAGCTAAGTTTGCAGCGTACCCGTTTACATTCTGTATTTTATTATTGTGGAAAAAAGCAATTGGCATGTCGTGATCGCTATTCAAGAGTATTATAACAAGACGAATGCAGTCAGTCAATAATTTTTGTTAAAATCCCATTGCCAGTGTGTTGAAATATTTCAAGGAGTAAGCAGCATGTAGCAAACGTAAAGTAGCAAATGGCAAATAGCTAGTTGCATGTAGCAAATGACATATCGTGACCGGCATCCTATAGTTTTGAAATAACTCCTGTGTATATGTCAATAGAAATACTAATGAATTGTATTTATTCATGAAAATAAATACAGGGGAGATAATTTAAAAATTATTCAAGATGGAGTAATGATTCTTTTACAGTGTACTTCCCATCGTTTTTATGTATCCATATTTAAAATTTCATGGATTTAAGATACGGTTTGACACGAATTTGGTCAAGGTGATAGAGGCTATAAATATTGGCCAAATATAACAGTGTTATTTAGCTAGTGCTATGATAATTTCAACATTTTGTTTTCAAACAAACATAGTTCAACCAAGGGTTCCTGAGTTATGGCTTTCAAGGAGACCAAAATATGCAAACATTGGCATTTTTAAGATAAAATTTATTTGATGTAAGCACAGTAAGGTATGGCTAGGTATGTTTGAACAATTAAAATTTTACTCAGATGACAACCATGATGACCGTCTTGTTTAACATGTTGAAGTTTTTTTAAACTTACTAAAAATAATGTATTTTACATAAGTTTGCCAACTGTGACATTTTTGTGTTTCCAATATTTGATTAAAATCATTATGATAAGATTAAGACATCTCATAACAAATCATGCATTAATATAGCCTCAATGTAAGTATATTTTGTAATAACAAAAGTATTTGAATGTGTTTAGTTTTTGTTTCAGAGATTGACGTTACTAGAGAGCAAATATAGAGATCTTGAAAGTGTAATAAAAACATATAAGGGACGTTTGAACTACGTCGAAAGTAAACAAGGTATTAAAGCTATACGTTAACCAATTGTCAATGTTTAAGTATTTGAGTGGTACTTTCTAATGGTTAGCTTAGTGACTATAAGTTTTCTCTTGGGATGGGTGTAATTAACCTGAAGAATTAAGTAAACATTTATAAAAATGCCTTCATAGAATACCACATCAATTTTACAATATCAAATAAAAAATCATCTACATGTAGTCAAAACGGAATGTAACATAAAAAGAATTATGCCGGTAGTTATGTCTGCTGTAGTACATTTGATATCTTAACCCTTGATAGTATCAACTGTCATGATTGGCCTACAATTTCTAATTCCTTTACTAACGTTGACAGTGCAATACTTTGACCATAATCATAAACTTTTATCTATTTTACTGTTTTACAGAGCTGCAAGATAAACTTGTCGAATATTACCAGAAGTTTTGTGTGAAGACATCACTTTGTCCTTTGAAGCAACAACAAGATAATATTAACATTAAAGATATATATGTACCTCCTGAAATAGAAGTCATTGAAGAAGAAATAGATGTGGATTGTAGTGGAAAAAATTCTAAGCAAGATGTTGCTGTAGAAGAACATTTCTTGAGGCTTTATGAAAGAAAAGAAGAAGTGGGGGCAAATCACAGTTTGGTAAGAAATAAATATAGGGAAACGAAAATTCCATCAGTTGTTATGGATAATAGAAGGGCAGAAAACCAAGAGAGGAAATGTGTGAGAGGATACCATGAAATATTTCATACGAAAGAACGGCACAACAAGAAGATTTATGTGTTGGGCGATGTGGGCACAGGAAAGAGTACTTTTTGCAAAATGATGATTGAAAATTGGTGTTACGCTGTAACTGGTTTGGCCAAAGGATCTAGTTTTGATGAAAATGTTACCGACAGAACGATACCAAGCGACAAAGATAAAGCTAATAAGTATAATGATGATGTCAGTCAGTTGAGACAATATGAGTTTCTGTTCTTTATACCACTGCAATTTATGTCAGCATTGAAGTCAGACGTCACTGTTGATATGATTAAAGAACTAACAAGGGAATTCTCTTCTAATACGGAACTTATTGACAAGATATTTCAGGAAGACTCGAGACGATGTTTAATTATCGCTGATAGCTTGGATGAGTGGAAGCCTCCTAAAGAAGTTGTGCAAAAACCACATGTTAGCTACGGAATACCAAACGGAGATCGGGCTAAAGATGCAACAGTCATCATATTGTCTAGACCATCATCTACAGGAATTCTCAATTTGAAAAATTCAGAAATTGATCTCAAGTTACAGTTATTAGGTATAACTAATGAATCGTTGAAGTCATTCATTAAACGATACATTTTTAAGTTCTCGGTAAGAAAAAAGTCTTGGTTTCATTTTTTGTCTCTTTGTAGGTCAAAGGGAATTGAGCACGTGGAGAAGACACCATTGCTTTTGCAACAACTTCTATGGTTATACTGTAATGACAAGGAACTTGGAAATTCTGTAAGTGAAACGTACTGTCACATATTCAACACTATGTATGGCTGGTTAGATCAAAAGACAAAAGGGCGTGAAAACGATGCAAGTCAGACCAAGGAGGATTACAAAAAGGTTGACCTACCTGCAATGTTAAAAAAGTTTCCTAGATTAAAGGAAAAAAGTCATGTCCTATTTCGTCTGGGTAAAATTGCATATGAAACATTAACTTCCGACATACAAACTGCATCTGGTCTTTCATGTCTTATTAAAAAAGATTTAGTGGATAGTGATGTCAATGAGTTAAAACGATTTGGTATTTTAAATGAAAGTAACTGCTATGACCCAACCCTAGAAGATACACAACTTTCTTTCATTCATATCTCTTATCTCGAGTTTTTTGCAGCTTTATATATTACAACGTACTATACCATTGACTCTATAACAAAAAATGATTCGGTTTTAGATGAGCTTTTTGGTACTTGTAAATCAGCGAGTGATGTATTACAGTTATCAAATGTGATCAAAATGAGTTGTGAGTTGTCCCCTGCTCTTATTAGTTATTTGTCAAAACGAATATCATGTATTGTAAATGAGGATGAACAAATTTTAAATCTAAGGAAAAATGAAATTTTCAGACGGAATGATAAGGTCGTCCTGATACAGCGTCTTATTGTAACTTGTCTCAAAGAATGTGGCTCTGATAACAAATCATTGATCACTCTGAGTGATCTTTACATTGATGACTTTGAACATTTTCCGCCTTTCCAAATAATTATCCCTAAAGGTGTGATTTCTATGACTATTAAAGACGATAGAACTGCTAGTTATTTGCCATCACTCAAATCAGTATTACAAGAAGCACATTTAAGACATCTGACATTAGCTCATTTAGAATGTTACCACAATGGAGGACATAATATTGATCTGTCTAGACAGAATCATCTCCAAACACTCACACTAGTAGAGTGTCCGGATGTAGTTATAACAGGACTAAACACAGAGCAACTTGAAAAAGTTCTTATTGATAATGATTACGCTGTGCATTACTTCATCAATACACTGAATTTTAATCTTATATCGCAAGCTAACAAGCTCAACGAGCTTCACTTACAATATCTTTCTGGTAACATAGCATCACTAGTAGCGTTAATACAACACTTAACTTTAAAAGAACTGACTTTGATAGGCATATCTGACAGTCAGTGTAATGTTGGAGGTCATGTATCAAATAATCAGTCGGATGTTGAAGGCGATATAAAAGGTGTATCTGATGATCAGTCGGATGTTGAAGGTCATATGAAAAGTATATCAAATGATCAGCCAGATGTTGGATGTCATATGAGAGGTATGTCTGATGGCCACTCTGACGTTAAAGGTGTTATAAGAGGTGTATCATATGATCATGATCAGTCTGGTGTTGAAGGTCATATAAAAGGTGTAATATATGATCAGTCTGATGTTAAAAGTCATATGAGAGGTATGTCTGATGGTCACTCTGACTTTGAAGGTCATATGAGAGGTTTTCCAGATGATCAATCTACTGTTGAAGGTGTTATGAGAGGTGTTTTTAATACACAGCCTGATGCTGACGCTCATATGCATGCTATAGATCTTTCTAAGCAAAACAAGCTCCAAACACTTCAGCTGTATGACTGTAAGAACATGACAATTTCCAATTTAAACACTGAACAACTTGAATATCTACATATTTCGGACGGTGTTTTAGATTTTGATCTTTTAAAAAATGCCAACAGACTGATTGGCCTATACTTACATGGCAAGTTCTTATATCAGCAAGATAATCATTTTAAGTACAGCGAACAGATAAACGATGTAGTTCATACATTACATCACATTAGAATACTCAGGTTGGAAATTGTAGATATATATAGCAATTCACTAACTGTAACACCAGAAATGAAATGTCTCAGAGCAATTGAGCTTTATCAGGTAAACATGAAGTTTGACACATGGTGTATATTTGTTGATAGTCTTTTGACTCTTCAACAATATGTTGAGGTTTTGGCAGCTCCAACAGATGAAAAGAAATGTTACTATGTAAGAACTAATTCAAAGTTTAAAGTAATAAACAAAGTGAAAAGAAAAATTCACTTTAAGTCTAGAATATAACGTTATCATGCACAATCGAGCGTGGTACCTGATATATGATATAAGTGAACAGAACAGAACTCATCTTATGATACAGAATATAATTTCCCTCATGTAAAAAGAAAAACCTCGTTAAAATAATTAAATGGAAGAAATAAAGTGTCATTCCTTATTGACTAGTAATCTAAGGAGTTTCTGTGCTGACGGGGTTGTTATACAAAGAATTGCCATTAATAATGGTTACTACAATGGATTCAAGTGATTTTGTTCTATAATCCGAGATCTGTTGTTCTATTTTTAATCATGGTTACAGTAATCAGTACAATACGTGAAAACACGAACAAATCATGTGGACTTTTGTGGTATGATCCAGTATGACATATCAATATATAGCAGAAAAATAAAGTTTTCTTGAACAAACAATTTATTCATGTCTTGGCTGTAAATGACTTTCATGAAATTGAAATTTAAATGACTTGGCCAGCAGAGATACAGGAAGTCCTTCGGCCACTTCGTGAATAAGATTTGCCCTTTTTAGTAATAATAAAAAAGACAAAAACGCATTTTAAAAAAATAATTATATTGATAGTATATGATGATTCCAATAGAATTTGAAACTTTGTGTATCAATATAGTTTTAGAAAAATTATAAATTGCTATTGACTAAAATACATGGAACATGATGATGAATATACTGTAGCACGATGAGACAGAATGAAACTAAATCATTAATAACTTCTTGTCATACATGTCAATTAAATATTTTATTTATACATGTATCATTAAAATTAAGAAATTTACTCTGTAAACATCATTCACTTTTAATGTATCATCACAGCTTTTGTTTGATAAATTGGTCAGTCTAAATATAAACAATATTTTACACACATTGTTGGATTTAAAGTTAATCTTATCAAATGCAAATTTTAAATGTTATTGATGTGATGCCGTTAATCTTGATTTCGAAGATTATATAGTTCAGTACATTATTTGTTTAAATTATGTCAAGTGGACTGTATTGTTACATATTTCTATATACTTATATTAAGACTGCTTTGACTATTTATTTTAGTTTAAGATTTTTCTCTATCATCGTATCATTGCAATAAAAATGGCAGTCGCATTTAGCGTTGCTTTTTGTTTTACTAAGCAGTGAAAGTACTGTCACGTACGTTTTTCAACAAAGATGTATATGAGCCGCGTTACGACAAAACCAACATAGTGCGTTTGCGACCAGCATGGATCCAGACCAGCCCGCGCATCCGCGCAGTCTGATCAGGATCCATATGCTGTTCGCTTACCAACTCTATTACAAGTAGAGAAACTGATAGCGAACAGCATGGATCGCGGATGCGCAGGCTGGTCTGGATCCATGCTGGTCTTAAACGCATTATGTTGGTTTTGTCGTGACGCGGCTCATATAAGTGCTGTATACATATTGAAAACAGTATAAGACTGTACACTAATGTAAATCAGTTTGCTATGCTGATAGTACTAATTGTTGACTTAACGGGGAAGAGCTAGCAAAAAGTGTTTCCGCAACAACTCATAAATGCTGAATATTTAGATCTCAAGAACCAAAATGGCATTGCATGGCTTTTAAAATGTTAATATAAAAACAATAATTTGAAATTGTAAAACAGCATGGTGATTTTTCCCCATATACATTATCAACAATAAACAACACACACGTGTACAGGTGAAGCTGTTGTTTTGATCATAGAAAATCTATTGGTACTTAGGTTTCTACATACCCGTGGTATGATAAATAGACCAGCAGGGTTTTAAATGCTATAAACATGGTTGAAATAGATAAAAACAATTGAGTTGCTTCAAACTGGAACAACAGAACTTATAAACATAAATGCTACAAGAAATAAAAGCGTAATAGAAACAAATATAAAAACTATCAACTACATGTACTTACCGTCTGCCCGATTGTAATCAAAACAAGAGCTGTCGGTAGGACAGCACGCTCGACTATTCTTAGTGCTTGATAGTAAAAAAAGCCCTGATAATGTAATTTTTTCTAAGTTATCAAAAGTGCCAAATTTTTCTTACAGTTATAGGCCTTGGAGAAAGTCGTATTATGTTCTCAAAGAAGTGTATAAAATTTGAACTTATATGCAAACATCAAATTCTATGTCGAAAAAGGGTCATTTGTCTGTCAAAATGCTCGATAGAGTTACCTCCTCTTGTCAACATATTAGGGGCATGATGGTAAAACAATGAGCAAAGTTTAAAAGCCATATGTCAATGGACTTTGAAAATATTTGAGGTGTTAAAAAAACTTTAAGGTAAATTCAAAGTCGTAAAAGGGACATAATTCTGTCAAAATGGTTGAAACTGTTAAAAAAGTGTGCAAAGTTTCAAAACCATATCTCAATGGACTTTGAAAATATTTGAGGTGTTACAAAAACTTTAAGGTAAATTCAAAGTCGTAAAAGGGACATAATTCTGTCAAAATGGTTGAAACTTATCTCCTTCTGTCTACAGGTTGGGGGCATGATGGTAAAAAAGTGTTCAAAGTTTCAAAGCAATATGCCAATGGACTTTTAAAATAATTGATGTATTACAAAAACCTTTACATAAGTGGTCACGCCGACGTCGACGCTCGGGTGACTAGTATAGCTCTTATTATTCTTACCGAATAGTCGAGCTAAAAATTAAAACCCATACAACTGCGATATTGGCGACTATAAATTATAAGCTCAAGAGGACCGCAAGTGTTGGTCAGTGCAGAAGAGACTTAAAAAAATGTTATTCCTTACATAATATAAATTTTTAGATTTGTATGTGTCTAGTTTTCTATAGTTTTTCAAGTGCTGAATACTAATTTAGCCGATGCTTTAGTTATGGCAGCTTCATTTCCTTCTTATGCCCACCCTTAGTCAAACCGAGTCATCAAATTGCATCATTTCATTTATGATCGACTGTGCTTCATCAAAGCTACCGGCCATACACCCTAGCATCGGCTTGAGCAAAATTCAACTTAAAATACAATTAACATTGAAAATGGTGTGTTATTTTAACATGTTTTACTTTAACATGTTTTATTTTAACATTTAAAAAACATCTTTACGGTTGTTGATATAGTGGTGATCATTGAACCTTTAATGTGACATTTTCCTGCACTCCGGGTGAGAAGACTTGGTGTGCCTTAAATGAGAACTGGACGAAATTGAGTTTTGAGTTGCCATAGATATATCTTAAATATAGGCAACATACAAATTTAAAATTCAAGCATAATATAGGAACGACCTTAAGAGAAAAGTTGAAAGCGCTAAAAGTATTATTTCATACTTTATTTCCACATACAAAATATATGATATGGTGAATCTTAAAAAGTTTTGTACTCGTTAATACAGTTTGTATTAAAGGAAAGCAAATAAAAAAAGAAAACATCTGGTACAGGTTTTATTTTCATAATTTATGTTTACAATACATCTGAGTTTTATTTTACTATTAACTTGTGAATATTTATAAGTATAATTATGTGTTAAAGCATAAAAGTGACATTATGCCAGTTAACTGGTGTTTGACCAACAGGTGACATTTGAAAATGATTAGGACAAAATATAAATCTACCTAAAATGTACATAATGAGTTTCATTGACTGAATAGAAACCATTTTTGAAGCATGAAATAGAAATGCAATGACAGATTCAAACAGTAAGTTTTTAGCATGACTTTCAAAATAAAACAAAGAATATATCAAATAAAAAAATTGAAACACATATCATATGTAGCACATCTTGATTAAGTAAATTCGGATTTCTAGATATTTTTATTTCTATCATACTAGATAATATCTAAATGTATACATTATTTCTAAAAGACGCAAAAGAAGGAAAAAAAGGTTTACATCAAACATAATACTTTTGAATGACAAAGAAAGAGCATGATGTCCATGAAGCTAAACACTGTATTATCAAACATCAATTTTTTTAGCTTTGCAATAAAAGACATATTCAGCGACTGCCTTTTTAAAACAACTTTAGCGCACATTTGTAACACAAACCGTGGTTTACAAATAATATACCTAAAACATTATTGAAGCATACTGTCTAAAAGATTATAAAGACTTACGCTACCTTCCACATACTATATAGTCGAATTAACTTTTCTCAAATTTGCTTTTCTTTTAGTTTATAAAATTTTGGCTTACTCAAGGAAACAACAGCTTGTCCAAGACAGGGCTTGAACCGGCTTATCACTTTGTGATATTTAATATTATGTAGCAAAACAGCGTATCTTGCTGACAGAAATCGTGCACTTGTTTGTGATTTGAAAATGAGATTTTGTTGAATACTCCTATTTATTTAGCATATTTTGCATGTCGAAATTTACTAAAATGACATTTCTTATCCCATGCGGAAGAATTCGAACAATAATATAAATTCAAGTTTAAAACTATTTTCATTAGAAATCATACAAACAAATCTATTTCCATTAGAAATCAGACAAACACATTTATTTTCATTCGAAATCATACAAACATATTCATTCACACATTTATTTTCATTTTAGAAATCATGAAATACATCTACATTGTATTTTCATTAGTCATACAAATGCGTCATATTTATTAGGAATTAGTCTAAAGGAGTTTTTTTTTTCATTTATAAAATTTTGATTTATATTTTCTTCATCATTTAATTTCTAACGTTAATCATACATGATGCAATCGCTTCTATTTCTATCATTTATTCACGTTCAGAAAAATATGGAATCGTTCAGTCAAACAGGCAAACAAATATTCATACAATCAAACAAATAATTATATGGCACTCTAATGTAAAATAGAAACTACATTGTACATGCATGGTAGCATACGGTAACATTAATAAATATCTGTTCTTATGAGAAAATATTTTCGCGAATATATTTTTTTCCAAAGTATTTGTAATTAAGTGAAATATCATATGTTTAAGCTGTATAATTTGGAAGACATTAAAATGTTGAAATCCATATAAACTACTGACTGCAGATCTGATCTATAACAAGTAAAAAATATTACGTATTGCAAGAAAATAAAAAAGGAAAATTACGAGTACATGGCAATGTGTAATTGAAAAAAACAACGATAAATCGTTTATAGAAATAAGAAATTGGACAAACAGACAAACAAACAGACAGTCAGTGCAACACGTGGATTAGGTGAATCTCGGCAAATTTTACATGTAATGAAAGAACACGAATCTCACATCAACAAAATGCATTCTCCAATTACGCATAAATGAAACAGTTGTTATATGGAAGACATATTTATAAACAAAATACAAGCAAAAGAAAAAACAACAACACAGAAAACAGGTGACTGCATGCAAAGATAAATAACTGGACAAATATCACATTTCTAGTTAAACTTCCAATTCCACCATTCGCTCTATTTATAAAAGTTCTCATTTTATTTTATTAAACAAAAGACGGAAGGAGCATCAAGATTATCACGAAAGACCTCCGATTCATTATCATTATCAATTGTAGAGCTGTTCAACTTCCGTGAACGCGTATTAGTTGCATAAATATCCATTCCGCGATTTATAATACTTTTTCGTGAATTCATATCCATTTCTTTGAATGAATATATTTTTGGATACCGTGTGCATTCCGTTTCCGGTAAGAAAATTTTTTCCGGAAGTCCTGAATCCGTAAAATATGAACATTTTATGTTGACCGTTTTCCGGTGATATTAGATATATGGCGGTGAGCAGTTTTAAGAGCTTGAATCTCATTTAGTCAGCATCTTAAAGACAACTTTGGGAGATCCGGTCACACGCATTTCAAGCACATTTATAGGTTTGAAACCTTGGAATTATTCAAAGTATACTGGCTTTCTTTCGATAGAATTGTATATCTACAATTTCAAAGAAATATGATTTGCCAAAATTGTCATGGCAACAAAAATTATAAATGATAAAGAGATAGACAAATTGTTTCCATGGTTACTGATGTTTCTACACATGTCGTATGGCGTCGAATCTTCTGAGTAACGCCAGCTCCCGCACTTTGGAAAGTTGCCAGGTACCGCTCGCATCTCGTGGATTTCGCCAACTTGAAAAACAACGGACATTCCGAGCGCGAAATGAAAGTCCACGTGACAATGAAATAACCAAAATCCTGGAAACAAAAAGAAAAGTTATCTTTGTTTACTCATCCTTAAATGATAAAACAGTATTCCCATACAAATAATGTAACATGGTACTTTTGTGTTTCTTTGTTTTCTTTTTTATATTTTTGGTCGTTTTTTCTGTTGTTTTTCATAATATTGGTCTTAAAAGTAACGTTACACGTATTATCGCCTTCATTTGTCTATGATTGTACGTAACATCGTCAGAAAAACATAAAAAAAAAACATTAACATTTTTTTTTCAATTATGTCTCAGTATTTGTAAAAAGAGTTAAAAGTGTTAAACAAAAAAAAGTACAGATAATTTTGATGTTTTTACTCACCGGGATTTCTGGCGCGAAAACGGATAATGGTGTATCCGCCGTCAGGGACCATAACTGTGTCCTTCTTAATTGGATTTCTGAGATTTCTCTTTAATACACCGCGCCTGTCGAGTTCTTCGATTGTTTCCCGGGAAATACTGTTGTTCAACTATAAGATATAATAAACATGAAAATTGTTTGGCATCCACTAATATGATATAAATCTTAACTATCACCGTTTTTTAATTTATTAAAAAAATGTCCCGTTCACGTTATGTGAAAAAGTATTGCAACAGTCGTCAAAAACTTTACACATATGTTTTATTCATTTTGATTGAAAACAAGAACTGTCGGTAGGACAGCGCGCTCGAATCTGTTCACAGTCCTTCAAAGTAAATCAAAATAATTTGGAAAGTTTATAAAGGGCAATAATTGTGCCAAATTCCATATAAGAGATATTAGCCTTGGACAGTGACATCACATTTTGCTCTCAAATAAGTGTGTGATTTTTCAACCATTTTCCTTCAGTAGTTTTTTAGATACTAACTTGCACGTAAAAACTGTAAGAAAGTGCGACGCCAACGCCTGGGTGAGTACAATAGCTAAAATTACTCAAAAAGGAAACTTTTATAGTTTATTAAATCTGAGGGGTCTTTCAAATGTCAACATATGCACGCACTTAAATTAAAAGTAATAATTTCCCATCAAGTGCACGCTGTTCTTATTATAAAGGCCCATGCTAATATAAAGCTGTTATTTCAAAATCTTCATCAATTTTTCTTATTTCGGTTTTTGAAAACAAATACATAAAGGATATTTGTTTGTTTGTGTGTAAGATGAAATTTTATTTCATCGAGTGAGCTTTAAAAATAGTATTCTCACGAGTGGCGTAGCCACGAGTGAGAATACTGTTTTTAAAGTTCACGAGATGAAATAAAATTACATCTTACACAACAAACAGACAAATTTTCTTTTTATTTTATACTTAAAAACAAGTTAAAACGAAATTTCCATAATTTTAACGATAATATTAAAATATGTTTCCCCCATTGAGAGCCCCATTTAGACGGAATTACTCATTTAAAACAAGAAGTCTTGAGCTGAAAAATAATCCGCCAATCAAGGTTAAATGACGGTGATATTTATTCATTTTATTAAAAAAATATGAATGATCGCTTGTTTTAATAATAAAAACAAACAATTCTTGCAGGAGAAAATTCCAACCATCCATCCATATTTCTGTTACTTACTGCGAATTTATATTAGACCTGGCTTTCTAAAATGTAAACGGCAGCCATTTTTTAAAGTTGTGTATTTCATGGGAGGAAAATAATTGTGTAAGATTCAGAAGGAAATAATTTGGATTTGTTAGTCATACACCTTTTTAAAAGAAAGAAAACTTATTTGAGGATTGTAACAGACAAAAAAATAAGTGTTGACAGAAGTGAAAACATTCAGAAAAGGAGCTAGGAAAATGGAAAGCTTGGAAGCTTGCTGAAGGAACGCTGGGTTGTTTTACTTATTTTACGAGTGATGGCTGTCAATGCTTTTCAATTTTTCATAAAGCATACGGCAGTTATTGCTCGTAGGATACTTTAATAAGCCCAAATGTCATCAAGAGCAGTTTTGCATGGGGAAGGAATGTATTTTTCAGACTGTAAAAACGAAACAAAAAAATTTAGAGACGAAATTTGGTGATTGGAATTTGAAGGAATAGAAGTAAGTTTTCTCTCTGTGTTACTTTTGACATTTAAGTTATTTATCTATTTCAGCTTTGCTATTTCTTTTGACAGCCTGACATTGTCAGAATTGTCAGTAAAAATAAAATTGAGGTACCACATGGGGAAAATCTTAAAAAAGTAGTTTCGTCATTGAAAAAAGTGAAATTATATTTTGATAATTTTCACTGTGAAATTATCAAATATAATTTTCACGGATAAATCAGTAATCCACTGAAAAGCATAAAATAAATATTTCGATTAATGACATTTCAGGTTGACATTTTCTAATTTCTTTATTTACCTTTTCCATTCCTAGAACATAAAAGGAATGCCCGTGCAGGTGCATCGGATGGTTTCCAGGCCCATGAAGACCGTCTGAAATAAGGACTAGTTCCACTACAGAATTTAAGTCCACCTTCACCCGGTGTACGCATTCACAAAAATCGTCACGACATCTACTCTTCATGGATGTCTCGTTACAGAATATGCCCTGAAATTAAACAAAAATTTTAGCATGTCATTTTTTTTATTATTTTTTTTTCATTAAAAAATTATATTATCATCTTATGGCGAACCGTAATCCTTAGATAAAGGGAGGCAAAACAAAAAACAAAACAAAATAAAACAAACAAACGAAAAACAGTTCAATAGATATATAAAATTATATTGAATAGATATAAAATTTTTGAATGTATCTGTTTTATTTGATCTGTATAATACTCACTTACCGTTTTCTCTTGATCATGTTAATTCGCAAATGCTTTTTTGTTGTATATAAATAAAATCGTTCCAGCAATTGCAGGACCATTGATAATTATGCATTACCTTTTTTTTTTAATTCAAAAATATCTTCTTATCATGTATCTATTCATTTTTTTTCAAAACTAGTATTTGTGACTTAAACGTTTAATTTTTAAGTTTTTACCTCGTCTAAATCTCTGTACTGTGTCAACACCGGTGACATAGGCATTCTGAATGTGATGTCATTCATTTGTAATGCAAACAGATGGTTACCATGGGAACCTGTATGCATTTGGTACATCTCGGCCAATGGGTAATGATCAGCATTCAAGAAGTGATAATTTTCTACTTCATTATATCCTAGATTCATATAGAATCTATTCACGTTGTGAGCCGTGTAAACGTCACTTGGTGACGCTTCAGATTTCATTTCAGCGACGGTGATGACGTCACTATGAAACGTCATTGGATTACCATTCTGGAAAGAGAAAGTGTATGTGAACGCAGCACGCATGTTAAAAGTGCAATGTTTCGCTGTTTTGTATATCATTAGGAGTACATATATTTAGATAATCAATAGGTACTTTTCATTGAAAAGAAACAATAAAAATGCTTAGGTTGAAAACTTCTGCATTTGCATTTTGATAGATTTTAGACCCCCAACGATGTAGCATGACAAAACTAATTAACTACAGTAATGAATAGAGTTAATAAGGTTAAGTGTTATCAGTCATAAAACTTTAAATGTTTTTGTAACATACTTTGCCTTGTCTGTCGCCGTCTGAATATTTACTTCCGGTTTTCGGTTCCATTTCCATCGCACCATCATATCTAATAATAGCTGTTTGTGACATGTTGTTGACCTGACAATCTCCAAGTCCAGTCACGTGCATCCAGTAGTTTCCAACATACTGATTTGCGATCAAAACAACGTCATATCTACGTGAGGAAATAAAGAATACATAATAAACTATCAAATATTTATAATACTAAACATTAAGCTTACTATACATTAATCTTTGATTTCCTTTTCAATCCTGTTCTATATAATTTGTTGTATCATAATTGTATATGTTTGTGTTAAACCAAGCTTACAATATTATTTTAGTTGCAAATTACGCTTATCATTTGTATCAATATTCAAATTTACATGTCTGTATGAATCTGTTAGTTACTAGTGATAGAGGTCTCTGCATCAAACTTCATACATATTGACAAAACGTATCTTATGTATACATGTTAAACATTAACAGTCTCTTAAAATAATATTATATCTAAGAATACCTTTCTCCCGCGAAAATTGTTATGCTATCGACTTCAGTTGGAAAGATATCGTTGCCGTCACTTGCTATAATGGTCAGTACATGTTTCTCTACGGAAACTTTTAGTGGACAATTCAGCATACCATTGCTAATAAAGCGAAATCTATATCGCCTACCTCTTTGTACCCTGCAAATATATTAATTATTGTTAAATGTCTGAACCATACTCGAGTTTGTTCATTTAACTTTCAAACTTACTGCTTTTCAAGTACAAGTTGATATAATGATCAGAAGAAAAATGAGCTTATTATAACAAAAACCAATACACGTAGACTTGTATAAACTTGCTGTAAATAATACAGTGATTTCGTTTATACACTTTTTGATATTAAGAACTGTATATAATATTATCATGATAAAGTTTAGGTATTATCTTATCAAAAATGACCAGCTAACAAAATAGAGCCAGTCTGATGCGACTTCACGTAGGTAAATGGTGGCACGACTCTGCTAGTCAAAGCTTATCACTTTCCATACCAAATGGGTAAGGGTTAAAAATCTTTGAATTGCATTAAAGTGTGTACCATTTATTGTACATTGACGTCATTTAATTGACCTTATTCAATCAAAGAGTGTACGTGAATCACCTTACTTCACTTATATAACCTTAACAGCAGCTCATAGGGAATATTTTAACGGTTTGAAGATACATTGCCAGGCTAATTTCAGACATAAATTTTGATTCAAACATTCTGTCACCGATCAAGCTGAAATGATCACAGGGCTACTAGACTAAATAAAGTACGAATTTTCCAACAGTAGAATGCCATCAAGCTTTGATATAAAATCTCGAAAAGCAAATGTCCTTACCAGAATAAACGCTTTGAAATGCAAAATTACAGTCTTTACATAGGTATTACTTAAGTCTAAAACAGGCCGGTCGCGTATGCATAAATGTGTTGTACAGACTCAATCAAACCGAGTCTGCAACTTTCATGTAATTTTGCTGTTTTTAATGCTTCAGAGGGATCACCTTTTTACCAGATATTGTCACAACTCATATAAATTATGCAAACGCGGCACTAGACAGGCAGAATGTATTCTATCACAAACGAGGCGGTTAGGAACCATCATGTATTGGTATGAAAGTAATTTAGTCATATTACAACTCATAAAATCATTACCTAAACACACTGTGCGGAACAAATGCTTTCTGTGTGTCGTTTGTTTCTTTAACCATGTCATGGTTGTTCATCGCCATTGTGGTTCCGCCCATATCCGCGTGATCTCCATGGGAACCATGTGTAGTTGTTTTTGTTGTAGTTGCAGGCATTCCTGGCATTGTTGTATTATCATGACCCATGTCGTGTGTGGTATTTCCCATATCACCCATAGAGTGATCTGAATCATCCATGTCGCCCATTCCATTCATACCGCCCATCGAATGTCCGCCATGTGGCATTGCATCCTTTTTATCGTGTCCGAAAACTGTTCCTCTACCTGAATATACAGAAGCGTTGATTATTATCAAAGAATATATATATCTAAATATGAACAATTAAATTCCATATAGGAAATGGTTTATATATGGTATATACGTTTCTTTAGTGACTAAATGCATAAAGTCGTGTGCAAGGATGTCGTTACTTTAAACTAAAGCTATTTCTTTGGTTATTAATGTTATATCTTTAGTCCGATCAAGTATTCAGCATTAAAGCTAATATATGTTTAAATTAGAAATATATTTGGAATTTATTTAGAAAATAGTGTACTGGGAAATAGATTTTGCAGACTCTGTGTGATTTTAATTACAGACACTAATAATTAAAGTATTGAGACAATTCTCCTAAAATGACGGAAAAAAGAAATAACATTTGTATAATTTGTAGGACGTCATTGTGTATTCCGTTTTTATCATCCTACCATTAATTAGTATAGAAGACGGTTGGTTATCATTCATTCCATGATGATGTAAGGCAAACTTAGATGATGTATACTGGTCCAGCCAGTCCTGGAGAAACACTGTATGTTCCGGTAAATCATCGTCATATAATCTCTTCACGGAAGTTACCGAAGTATCACGAACAATAAGCGCGCCAAATATCCCATCACCTCGTTGGAGTCCTGCGTGCGCATGCCAATAGTGGGTACCAGCATTTTGAGCATTAAATCTGAAATAATGATACGGTAATAAGTTTTTTTTGTTATATAATGCTGAACTAAATATGCTTTGTCATCAACAAGGCGCAACCGTCATTAAAAGTTTTTTTGTATCATTATATTAGGTCTGTCGGCGGTATAAAAAGCAAAAATTCTAAATTTATCCACATTTTTAAATGGGTTTTCCTTAAAGCTACGATATCATTACCAAAGTAATCTTTCGAGTGATATAATGATTTATGTTCGACTGTCTTCACTTTAAAGGGGGTGAATAAAGTCGAGATATGGGTAATATCAGCGTAAGATCGGTTGATGTAGTATATTGACCTACTGACATGTTCCTCGAGGGGAGGGAGAATCTTCACACCTTTATACGGATTATCTCGTAAAATCTCGTACGTGACGAGACAAAATACCTGAAGGAAGGAAATACCAATTTTTAATTAGGACAAAGAGCTTTTTTCATAGATTTATATATAAATATATTTTCTTATTTGATAATACATTTCTCAACGATTTATATTCATTTATTTTATGTTTAATATCGCATATTATGGCCTTTGATGTTTGTAGGCAAATGTTTTAATGTTTATTTTACGACATTAAAAGCAATATTGAAAAGCGCTTTTTTCTGACTTATAAGATGCTCAGGCTGATTTCACAAAGCACGGCATTAGGAAAATGTTATCAAAATTTGATATGTATAGGAATGTAACAAAAAATAAATTATGACAGTATAAGGATGTTTTAAATGGACGTAAATGAGTAAAAGATATCTAACGTAATGGTCCCTCAGTTTGGGAAAAATCGATGTTAAGAGGCGTATGCTTATATGTATATAGACATATTGGCAGAATTCAAAACTGTATATTAAATTGTTTTTTTGTAAAAATGTCTATTATCTTTAGAATATAATAACAGAAACATTTTTTTCTTTTGTGAATGGGGTGGGGGAGAAGTATTTAAGGTTACCGACCTCGTTTTTGACTTAGCAGTTAATAATTTGTACTTTTAAATCCCATTAATTTTATATTATAGTAAAAATGTAAACATTTTCTCTTTTTATAAGTCATATAAACCAGAGTTTACTGTTATATTTACATAATAACATCATTAACATAAAACGTTAATGACCTGTTGGAAGAGTATTACCTTACCATAAGTGTTTAAATATTTGAACGTCTCGTTTATTTCTATATGATAGCAAAATATATCTCCTTTTAATCAACTAATCACCACCTTTTAATATTTTATTTTTGTATGCATTTTGGGATTCAACCAAAATCGACTTAAACAGACTGATTGATTTGAATGTATGTTTAGGATATTAAAAATCAGTTAGGACCTTGAATGGAGACACCCCCTCCCCTCCACCCTATCCCAACGAAAATGTAAAAAATAAATGTACTCCATATGGAGTAGGTCCATAGAAGTATAAGAAAGAACATTATGCCACGCTAGAGTTTGTTGTTGTTATTTCAAAATGTTCTCGAATGCAAACTTCAAAAATGCGGAAATCCAGGAACAGACATGATATAATTTATTGTTTTTTGAAAACAAAGACAGCGCTTAATTTCTTTAGGAATTAATGTCAAGTTAAGGTTACAAAATGTATATTATTTTCCACAAAAACACAGTTTTTGAGGTAGTAAATAATCCGTGACATTTTATACTAAATGTTGGACATTGTGATTTATATGATCTTGCGTAGTAATACATTTCATATCGTACTACTTTCATTTTTCTAAAAAAGGTTAATATGTTTTTATTTATTACAATTTGACCTTTATGAACATTTACGATGAGTCAAGTGTACATTAGAAGGAAATATCTCTTAACAGTCATTTTCCATATTAAAGAATTTAACAAATACATGTATATATACATATGACCATGAAATAGAATACTAACTTGGTCACAGACTTTCCCAATCCACAGCCGAGCATGACAAAACTTAGTAAAAAAAGATGGTTCATTTGCACAAAATGACATTTACATGCACATAAAAAGGACAACAACCCCAAAAGAATAAAGGAAGGATATGAGATCTATTTACACATGAAGTTTCAAACATATATCTCTTAAAGGTTTTGAGTTATAGTGGTGCAAAAAAAACATACACATAACAAAGGCAAATATTTAAATTTATATAGTGAAAAAATTAAAAGCATTTCTCTTTTACGGCATCTTTCCACCTATGAAGTTTCAAGATGATTTCTCAAATAGGTTTCAAGTCAGCTCAGCATAAAAATAACAAAGGGCAATTAATCTGTTAATGTTAGTAATCTTTCTTGTGTAGTGCAACCCTCTAGAAAGTGATCAAAAAAGGAAGTGAAAGAATTGGATGGTCTCATACTATCGATCTGGTCACAATCGTTTAATCTGGTCACACACTTTCAATATAGTCACACAATTTTAATCTGGTCACACACTTTCAATCTGGTCACATACTTTCAACAATCTGGTCACATACTTTTAATCTGGTCACATTCTTTCAACAATCTGGCCACATACTTTCAACAATCTGAACACATACTTTCAACAATCTGGTCACATACTTTTAACAATCTGGTCACATACTTTTAATCTGGTCACATAATTTCAACAATCTGGCCACATACTTTCAACAATCTGGTCACATGATTTCAACAATCTGATCACATACTTTCAACAATCTGGTCACATACTTTCAACAATCTGGTCACATAATTTCAACAATCTGGTCACATACTTTCAACAATCTGGTCACATTATTTCAGACCTGATAACATATTCTTTATCTAGTCCTATTCCGCATTGGACATTCATGAATATGACTGGGACTGACCTCTTTGATACACTTATAACCGCAAAACAACATGATGAAATTCTCACCTATAATTATCTATTCCATATGACAACACGGAAACAAAAGTGCCAAAAAATGAAATTCAGTTACCTGTACTGAAAGACAGAATGGACTGGTATAGGACACTGTGTAACCATGGCAACACCGTCCATGTGAGGCGTCTCCTCCTGTAGTATACCGTGCCAGTGTATAGCCGTCCCCTCAAAATCACTGAGTTGATTATATACGTTTACAACGATGGTGTCACCCTCGCATACCTGTAGTGTGTGAAATGCAAAATAATTAAAACTTCATCTCCCCAACAAACAATGAAAGGGATAAGGACAGTTAAAGTAAATAATTGTGGTGCATTTGCCTTTCTCCGCTTACAGTATTCGTTCCAATAGGAAAGTTTTAACTGTTCATTCAAGATGGTTGGCCATTAATTTTACAGAAGGTCCAACAAAGGTGTCCGCCAGAGCTGATAAGAATGTACACGTAACACAGAAAGACAGAGAGCAAACAAACGTCAAATACGTTAAAATTGAACTTGTTGCAGCCTCAGTCAGTTTGATGGACGGTAGTGGTAAATACAGGCTACCACATTGACCGCGTAGCACCGGCTCAAGAATAATTCTCGTTGGTTCTCCCCAAGTCAGTTTTTATACTGGAATTTCGAGAGCAATGTTACTGCTTTACTTCTTAATACATGCTACATAAAAATTCATATACGGAGGAATAACAGAATGTACAAAATGTTATTGCTAGAAAGTATACTGTCCAATTTAATTGTAACTTCGCTCATGCGTTCCATTTTCAAAATTAGTTGCATTCCCTAATCTTATATTTGAGACATAAGCTGTCTAGACCGCGACTGCATTAAAGTTCTAGGTCATTCTCCTATTTTTATTTGTGTGTACAAATTTAAAGTACCACTAGATGTAAACGCAATTATCAACTCTTTCATCTTATCACGATTTTGAATTTCTTCATCATTTTTGTTCTTTTGTGTAAAAGAATGACTTTTGTATAAATTTAATTTTTATAATTAAAGCTAATGGACTAAGTGCGTAAACTTGTGTTATATTTTTTGTATTCGCTGCATGCTGCGGACATAATGCTAGAGTTAGAATTGGCACTTTACTGAACGCACTCTTCAACGCGGACAGGTATCTTGTCAACAGGACATAGCTAAAATGTGGCATTTATGTTGTTTCAAAGGGGTCCAACATTTTTAGCCTTTTGTTCTCATCAAATCTAGTTTATAACATACTTGTAATAAAGATTTAACCGTCAAACACATTTTGCACTGGTCTCGTGGTCATAAAACTTTTTTCCTTAAATCCGTCTTGAATATCACGATTTCCATTGGTCAGTGTACATTCCGTGCCGCTTTCTGACCTATCAAATTAGATCTCGAACATTTCTTTATCACACTGGACCAAGATCACGTGCCTATTTTGCCATATGTATTAATGTACTTCTATCATAGAAAACAAATCACAATTTCACAATTGCAACTGGTAAAGAATTTTTTAATTCAAAAATAGAATATATATGTATAAATATTATATTAACAGATTTTTTTTATATAAAAAACCCAGCTTTATCCAAAAATCAAGAGTAGCACTTTATAAGGCAATCAAAGTTAAAGGTAAACGAAAATGAAATTACATTAGATCATAGTTATTGTATAAAAAAGGCTTTAAAGATATGTCGTTCTTCAAACGATTTAATAACAAACAAATATATGGGTAACTTTTATTATATACAAATATGCAATATTTGTACAGTTAAAAACTTTTGCAAATATTTTTTTTTCTGAAATACGCGGCTTTTTTCAGGACAAAATATAAGAAGAAGGTGTACTGTAGTTTGTTCGTTATTTGAGTAGACACTATGTACTTTTTTGCGACAGACTGTAATATGATGAGCACGATTTTGAAAGAAAAAAATGTACTTTCACCTACATCGCAGTTATAATACATGAAATATAACTCTGTATTGAATGTTTGCAAATATCAAGTTAGTATTTAAATATGTGAAAAGGTTATTATATTTTCAAGTTGGCACATAGCTGAGGGAAAAAATCACTATGTCATTCTATGTGATTTATGACATTTAAAATTGTAATTTGATCAAGTAGGGCAGGTGTGACAGAAATAGAAAATGTTATTGGCATGACCTTATTTATACAGCTCAAATATTTGATAAGTGTATATGGTATGTATAACATTCCTAAGTCAATGTTTAGTACGAATCGGTAATCTGTGACATTTTTATGCCATGCCAATTGACCGTAAATTTTGTGCTAGTTGTATGTTTTTTTTATTTATTCAAGCTTGTTATGTGGTGTACCGTATGATTTAAATTGTTTAAAAAATAGTAACAGCATCGAAACAAGAGGTTAATATTAATCAGATTGCCGACTGTTTTGATGTTCTTTTTTCTTTTTCATTATAAGCAAAAATAAAAAAAAACGCTCCCTGTAGTCATTATATAAAACTCCAAAAAGTTACCAATGTGGAATTGCCTTTAAAGTATGATACAAAACCAGATTGTATCATAGTTTGGACAATTGTATCATAGTTTGGACACCATTTTACATTGGTTCCTTTTTTCAGCAGTTTCATATTGTGACGACAGGAAAAGTGATGTTTTCCCCCAATTATACAACAGAGAGACAATCTAGTTTGTACGCGGTGGTTACGCCAATCAGATATTCATGTGTTCCGATGTTCTTTCTATTACTAAGACCATACGTATGATACTAGCTTGAAACTTAGATAATATTTTCCCAAACTAATTTCAAAGCTTATAAGTTACATTTGTCTCCTAAAATTTCATTACCAGGTGTTTAAAACAGTTTCAATAATACTTCGCTTTAAAACAGATTAACCCTAATGTGTTGATGATACTTACATGTAGGGCTGGTCCCGGCATCATTCTGTTGACGACTTTTATTGCACGTAGAAATCCGTCAGCCGGGACACAGTGTGGTCGGCTACAGTCGGTCATATTAAAGGGACAGTTATAACATGCACGTGACAACGTCTGGTAATGCTCGATTGTAAAGTTATATTCACAAGTCATGGAACTAGTTCTGAGACAATCACGCCGGCATGGATGGTCCTCATAGTCTAGAAACAAACAAGGAAAAGATATTACTATTTGTCTTTTTCAAGAAAGAAAAAGAATTGGTACAGAAGTATTTAAAACTATAGGTTTATAATTTTAAAATGATCTACGTGTTGTAAGATCAATGCCATAAAAAACAATACAAAACGAGACAAAATAGTTTTTCTAAGTTGCTTCGTATCCAAAAGATAATTTTGAAAGCATTGTGCTATTTCAATTAAAATATACTGCAAAAATAAAGAGTAGGTCTAAAAGAATGGCAACAGTGAGAACGAATAAAAAACCTCTCATATGTTAGGCATTCACTGAACCGACTGTGCTATTATATCATTATTGATATGACGTGCACCTATACATTAAGCTAGTGAGACTTTTCTAAACATTAGTTATACTCAATCTTAACTCTCGTAAACTGCACGGACAGAACCGAATTAGGATCGAATATTTAAATTAATGTCAAAATGTATTCATTATTGACAGATCAATAAAATCAGACTGAAATATCTAATGAAAGTTGCAAAACATATCAAAAGCTCATGAGCTAAATTTCATACAACATATGTATTATTTTTAAAAATACATTATCGGGAAAATGCTATCTTTTTCGCAGAGTTCGCTGAGGCTGCCAAAAACAATGACCAGTACTCAGGTTTGTGGTATACTTCCCAAGCACAGTGTAATCATTACAAAGATAAACAAGTTATTGTTTCCTGATACCTCAGGTTAATTAACTTGCCATCAATTTATAAATATGTAGGAACTGGAATGTTGATTGTGACAAGATGCAGAACACTAGTGACCGGTCATCGTAGGTGTATGGATAATAAACAATGCAACGCTCATCGTTTGTTTATAACATAGATAAAACTGGATATTTGAGTATGAATACATATATAAAGTACATCTATTAATGTATTATAACCGGAAACAAGAATAAATTGAAACATAGCAAACTTGAAAATGCTGCATGTTCAGTTTAATTACGGCAAACGTCTTAGCAATCTATCGTGATTTTTTATTTCCACAAATAATGATAAGGACCAAATCCGCATCCTTGAAGACCCCTGATTTTTTCTCTATGCTCTCTATGTGTAATTAAATTAACAATATATTATATAATTCTTAACTGAATTAGTTTACGCATTGCGGGAAATTTCGAATAAGATTTTTGAAAAAATATTCTGATAAAAAAACTTAACAGATGAATCTTTGATAAAAGAGATTAAACCCGCATAGAATGCTTTGGAAATAAGAAATTTCTTTCTTAACCTTTTCTCTTGGTATTTTTAAAAGTTATTTGGAAATGAATATTAAGTTTCCACAAATATCAATCATATACTAGAATAAATTAAAATGTTGAAATTTTTCTAACTATACTCTGGCATGTATTGGCTGGGAGAGAAAAAATTAACTTCTTTAGGGTTTAGTTCATGTATAGATACATGTGAATAATATTAACATTTGAGCCGCGTCACGACAAAACCAACATCCGCGCAGTCTGATCAGGATCCATGCTGTTCGCTATCAGTTTCTCTACTTGTTAAAGGGTTTGTAAGCGAACAGCATGGATCCTGATCAGACTGCGCGGATGCGCAGGCTGGTCTGGATCCATGCTGGTCGCAAACCCATTATGATGGTTTTGTCGTGACGCGGCTCATTAATCTTATCTTTTTTATTTTTTTGTAGATTTAGAATAAACCTAAATATTTAAGGGATTCTACTGAGGCTTTTTGGCATAACCAGACTGGATATTTTTTGTCTGAGATTTTTTTTATCATTTAACGTAAGTTACCAAAAACTTGTCCGCAAAATTTCATATCATTCGTGGACTCTGTATTAAAAGAATAATGTTTTGTGCAATATGACATAAAACTGAAAAGTTTTTAACGCTTTTAACTAAAATCGGGCTTTGAGAGGAACTATGTATCGATTTCCAATTTATTCCGAGTGCAACAAATTTATTATGTCTTTCACATAATTTCGTCTTATTTTAAGTGTCTATTTTCTCGATATGTAATTTGAAGATTCTTGCAATAAATAAATAAATAAATAAATAAATAGATAAATAAATAAATAAATAGATAAATAAATAAATAAATAAATAAATAACTTATAGTACTTTTATTTGTGACATAAATCTAAAAAACCTTTGACTAATACACATATAAAAAAACATCTGTACCATAAGTTTGATTTCTGAACCATTTAACTGTTAACACTTACCGGAAAAGCCAGGTGAATCCCATAACTTCGCCGAACAAAGTCCCGTTAACGTGAACACCACTGCCACTAAAATATATGCTTTACAAAAAGAATCCATTTTGAATTTTGAATGAACTATAACTCCCAGGAAAATACGTTTTTCTTCAGTTCTCTAATGGTTGTTCCGTGGAATATTCTCGGTTAATTGCTCTCGCTGGTCTTGGGGAATTCTCTATGATAGACTCACGTTCCTGAAAATGGAGAAGAAGAGCGAAAGAAGATTTATCAATTTGTTTATAAACGCAGTTTGAATATGGTGAAAAGAAACATGGTTAAGTAGTTGTATCACCTAATAAATTGTCCATAGAAATATAATATGTAGGGCAATATTAAGCAACATTGGTAATTCTATATATTGAAGGCAGCGGCAGTCAAAACCCGTACCATTACGAATTATAAACGATATGTGCATACATTTAATGCAATATAGCATTAAAAATATGATATACCACTTAGGACGTGACACTACATAATGTTAACCCGAGAACAAAATGCATATCCATATGTAAGGGAAGTAACATTATAGACGGTCTAGGGGTAATATTACAGATGGGTAAGTGTTGAACATATTGTACTGTGTAATAAAACAATAATAAAATATACATTTCTTTTATACAGTTTCTAAAAAAACTCCAAAACAAAGTTGAAGTACAGTGTATTGTACTCATATTGCATAATCGAGACGTTTTTTACAATTTTATGTGGGGAGCTTGTTATGTGATTTATGTAAGTGAAGAAGGTCGAAGACGAACTAATATTAGCTTAATTGATAAACAATATATAAATATAAATAGCGTAAATTGTTCTAACGTCAATAATTTAATATTGATACTGCGTAGAAATTGAATGCAAATATGCCCTTGTGCTGCGATAAAGTGCGGTATTATTGCGATAATTTCTTCTAAATTGCCGATATTTATGCGATATTTCTATACTTATTTCTCTATTATTACGCAATGACTATAAATTTACACTTAGCGTGCTGACGGCATGTAAATGTACTTATGCTTCCAGTGCAGACCATTATCAGCCATCAAATCATGGCCTGCACCAACCGCTATTCAGCACATGTTTTAAAATTCACCCATGAAAACTTCATGATTTTTTCTAGCCTGAAAAAAAATAAATAAACACGTTCATTGAGATAATAACATGTTATTCTCAATGACTCAGGTTAACGTCGTTAATGTAACATAACGTCACCAAAACGTCAAAACCTAGAACGCAGAATACTTTGTTAGAATTGTCACAACATACTCTCTATGTTTTTGTAGTCTACCCAATGATCAAAAGTTACACAGTTTCAGTACTCAACAAACATTGCAATGATTTCGTAAATAAGCCGGCAACTCATAATGAACATCTCTCAAATCTTTCTTTGGATCTGGATACAAACGAAAGCCGTTAGACAAAGTCCGGTCGTATGCCTATGAGTTATTGATTTTACTACCACAAAAATGCCGGTGCATTTACATAAGAAAGTCTTCCAACAGTTCTCAATTAGTTTTCAAGTCGTTTATATCATAACCACCGAGTCCAATCGTTCACTATGTTTCCCAGGCGGAGAACGCATGAAGAGATCAATTTTACAGGTGGAAAACCGATACTGTGATAAGAAAATTGTCTTCAATTTCTTTGTAAATGCATATTTCACAAAACTGTATAGCCTATTCTGATCTCGTATGATTACTTTATCCGACAGGCATCTCAAACTTGCCAAATCTTCGTTAACTTATTAGATCATTATCGACAACTGCACAAGAAAAGTCACAAAATTGGTTAAATCGCTCTTTGATAGCCAATAACTTGACATCCAAGCAAACTTCTAAACATTTGTATCGCTTTAAAGGTTCTTTATTAACATATCCTCATCCACCAAAAGCCTGCTCTATTTCTATTCCGTATTTTTGGAGTATAATATCGTTTAAGCGAATTTTCAAAATGAACGCATGAGCCGAACTTTTCATGTGGTTTTATAGGTTTGAAAAGTGAACGCATGAGCAGGTGATATTTTTTAAAACTCCAGTTTTTCTTAATTATCTTACAAATTTAACATATTCAAAAACTTTAAAATTTTCAAATTTTATTCCAAATAAGTGAGAGACACTTCTTTTTACAAATTAAAATATACCTTGTACGCTGTATATATATGCTAATTAGCAAAAGTACGAGGTTTGTTGGGAAATATCGTGTAAAATTGAAGTAATTCCTCGTTTGTATTATTTGCAAAAGCAGTTGTTAAGACGACAAAGAAAAGCATAATAGCTCCTCGAAAACTTGTAAACTTGTAAATATTGTTTAATACATAAAACGGAGAGATAACTAAGTCTTGTCATGTTGAATAAAATCAACAACTGACGACATTAAGCTGATTTATATAATAATCTTACATGACACTTTTGAAAAATCCTTTGCACGCATTGTAAATGATTGTTTTACAAAATATGTACTTTGATAATTAAATCATGAATCCTGAATAATTGTATACAATTACTATCATACATGCATAATATTAAACAACAAATACAACAAAGGACAAATGACAAATAATAGCGTATGTATATTCTTTTAAAGTCCCTGTACCTGAAAACTTTAATAGTCTAATACATGTGTACTATGATAAACCTGATATTCAAATAAAGAATTACCAATATTTGAAATCTTACATAGATATTATCGAATTTAACAAGTTCTGTAAATAAAGGGAGGTAATTAGAAACACATTTTGATAAATACTTCGCCTATTCTTCATTAAAATAAAAGTGTATAATTTTTAAAAGAAAAACTTATAATGAACCTAAACAATGCTGTCGGTAGGACAGCAACGCTCGACTATTCTTAGTGCTTGATAGTAAAAAGGGCTTGATACAATTACCTCCTCCTGTCTACAAGTTGGGGTTATGATGGTGAACAAGTGTGCAAAGTGTCAAAGCCATATGTCGATGGACTTTGAAAATATTTGAACTATTACAAAAACTTTAACGTAAATTCTAAGTCGAAAAAGGGGCATATTTTCTGACAAAATTCTTGATAGAGTTACATCCTCCTGTCTACAGGTTGGGGTCATGATGGTGAACAAGTGTGCAAAGTTTCAAAGCCATATGTCAATGGACTTTGAAAATATTTTAACTATTACAAAAACTTTAACGTAAATTCTAAGTCGAAAAAGGGGCATAATTCTGTCAACATTCTTGATAGAGTTTTCTCCTCCTGTCAACAGGTTGTGGTCATGATAGTGAACAAGTGTGCAAAGTTTCAAAGCCATATGTCAATCGACTTTGAAAATATTTGAACTATTACAAAAACTTTAACGTAAATTCTAAGTCGAAAAGGGGGCATAATTCTGTCAAAATGCTTGATAGAGTTACCTCCTCATGTCTACAGGTTGGGGTCATGATGGTGAACAAGTGTGCAAAGTTTCAAAGCCATTTGTCGATGGACTTTGAAAATATTTGAACTATTACAAAAACTTTAACAAAAGTGGTTACGCCGACGCTCGGGTGACTACAATAGCTCTACTTATTCTTATCGAATAGTCGAGCTAAATAATATGTTGTATTTCAACATTTTCTTAAATGTTCATTTTGTTGTAAAGAATGTGATATATATATTCTTGCTTAAAGATCCTGTATTTTATAAATAAGCTAGGATGTAACATCCTTGCGAAAGTTGTATATAAAGTCAGTTCTTATGAAAAACATATACTTAAGAATTGACATTTCTTGAGGAAAAAAGGTTGTGAAATTTTTATTGGAATGCAAAACTGATTTTTATACCAAAAACAGATTTCTAATTATCTTCTTTTTTATCGGAAATTTAAAATTTTGGCAATATCCTTATCAAAAAGGTTTTCTGTAACTTTTAACATTGTTAATTCTTTATTTAAGCAAACGATTTTTCACAAGAACATAAAATTTTGAGTCACAGGATCTTTAAGTGTATGCTACATCTTTAATCCCATGCCGATTTTGCAACTCCGTAAATATGGTCAATCTCCTATGCAGTGATCTCCCCTTGTAAACAGGATTAGATAAAGTAGAAAAGCGTGACGTAACCGCTGTGAGGAGTTTAAAATAATTATGGTATTGCATATAACATATTTTGACGTGACGTCATTAGCGTTATACAAACATAGTGTAAAGACGTGCTAAATGTTAGCGTTATACTAAAGGCGCGTCAATGAAAAATGACTCTTTTTTTCACTTTAAACGGTCTTTATTTTTGGTATGTGATAAATAGAATATTAAATTCGTGTAAGTTCATTACTGAATTTATTGCACTCGTTGAATAAAATAATATAATGCGCGCCAGAGTCTCGCATAATATAATTTTATTCAACTACTGCAATAAATTTAGTATTGAACTCACACTCATTCAATATACTCTATATAAAATACAGGAAATTTAAGTCCATCAACCAATGATGTTGTATTTTGCAAATATTTTACTCAAAGTTTTAGAAATGAGGATTTATTATATTTCCACAGAACCGAACAGACCTTCATCTATTGCTTATAAGCAATTCGTCATAAGGTATGAAAATAGGGATTTCTGTTTGCTCAAACATTTGGAACGAAAATTTTGGAATTTAAAGGTTCAGTGATCGATAACATGTGAGATATCCATGAAAACTGGAGTAACCGAAAAATCCGCCTGCTCATGCGTTCATTTTGCAATCTGATGAAACCACATGAAAAGTTCGGCTCATGCGTTCATTTTGAAAATTCGCTTAAACGATATTATACTCCAAAAATACGGAATAGAAATAGAGCAGGCTTTTGGTGGATGAGGATATGTTAATAAAGAACCTTTAGAGCGATACAAGTGTGTAGAAGTTTGCTTGGATGCCAAGTTATTGGCTATCAAAGAGCGATTTTACCAATTTTGTGACTTTTCTTGTGCAGTTGTCGATAATGATCTAATAAGTTAGCAAAGATTTGGCGAGTTTGGGATGCCTGTCGGATAAAATAATCATACGAGATCAGAATAGGCTATACAGTTTTGTGAAATATGCATTTACAAAGAAATTGAAGACAATTTTCTAACCACAGTATCTGTTTTCCACCTGTAAAATTGATATCTTCATGCGTTCTCCGCCTGGGAAACATAGTGAACGATTGGACTCGGTGATAACAAGCGTTTCAGAAGGTGGTAGGTTCAGTCCGACGACAAATCTTCATAACATAATACC